TTCTTACACTTGGGAGTACATTCAGAATACCACATCTCTCCACCTTAAATTCCGGATACAACCGCTGCAAAATAATATTTTTCTCAAAATCTTCATTTCATGATCTAATCTCAAGATCTAGAAGGAATATGTATATATTCCAACTCTGAACATCTGTCAACACGATATTTGCTTTGCAAAACTTAGTTCGCATCTTCGCCGGTGGAGTAATTTAATTAGGTCGACATAAATTAACCGAATGGTTAACTTCGAGGTGCAAACCTGGCACTATCAGTGTCAAAACTAGTTGATACAGGAAATAATAATTAACTGAATCGGTAATTGGTAAATTTGGAGGCTAAGAGGACTCCTGGGAAGCAAAAACTTAAATTTGTTAACCAGGGGGTATTTTACCCTCAAGAAAGTTGTATAGGCATGAGACAATCCTGTCACAAATGGATATAATTAACTTTCCGTAGGGGTAGTTATAGTAATGGGCCGAAAATCGAAAATGAAAATTTTTGCATTTCTCGACGTTTTGAAGGTTTCTGAACATTTTACTGGCATACCTCAGAAAAATGGATAGCGAGATGTGCTGATTAGTTTTTGAGAGAACAAGTATCGGATTTGAATGATCTGAAAAACCTTCAATTTGTAATGATTGGGACAAGGGGTGATTAGTTTTTGGCAAAGACAGGTCCCGCCATTTCGAAGATACAGAGCTAAATGTGCGAAAAATAGCAGTTTTTTTGCTGAAATTTTTATTAGCTCGTCAGTAGAGTCTCTTTTTGTACTGAAATTTTTATTAGCTCGTCAGTAGAGTCCCTTTTTGTATTAAAATTTTAAATTGGCTTGTCATCAGAGTCCTTTTTGTATTAGAATTTTTAAATAAGCTTGTCAGTAGAGTCCCTTTTTGTATAATTGGTCGTCAGTAGAGTGCCTTTTTTATGGACATTTTAAATTTGATCGTCAGTAGAGTTCTATTTTGTATTGCCATTTTAATTTGCTTGTCAGTAGAATCCCTTTTTGTGTTTCCATTACAAATATGCTTATCAGTAAAGTCCCTTTTTGTATTAGCATTTTAATTTGCTCGTCAGTAGAGTCTCTTTTTCTATTAACATTTTAAAGTTGCTCGTCCTTTTTTTATTTTCTAGATCTAAATTTAAATTTACTCATCAGTAAAGTCACATTTTGTACTGAAATTTTAATTTGCTCGTCAATAGAGTCCATTTTCTCTTAAAATTTTAATTTCATCGTCTTGTACTATAATGATACAACTTTTTCAATTTTGTGCAAATTAGGCACCTAATTTTTTTAAATTGAATTCGAAATGAAATGACGATTGTTAATGTTCTGGAGATAAATTGATTTATGATTTATGATTTATGATTTACATTCGATTTGCTCAGATATAACAAGATAGCAAAAATAATGAAAGTTACAGAATTTGTAATTATTATATATTTGAAAACGCTTAAAATTTCTCGAGTATTTTATTACTGTACGGGAAGTTCCAGCAATTTGCTTTAAGGCACGATGTCATACATCACTAGTTGAAGTAATGATATTGGTGACCCCAATAAAACAAACTAGTGGTGTAATGTAGTCGCGCCTAAAGAAGTTTTACTTCAAAAACTTGAATTTCATAACCAGGGGGCTAAGTTACCCTCAAGAAATTTGTATAAGACATATAACAATCCTGTCACAAATAGATAAAATTTCTTTAGAATAAAAATATTGGTGACCCCAACACTGAGCTTTGAGATACTCCACTTTAGTTGTATTTGTTAAAGGAGTATCACGAAGCCTTGCCTTTTTGTTTCGTTATCAAATAAAACAAATTAATGTGTACATTTTTTTGCTTCTCACACCCTTAACATATTTTTTATGATTATCCCATTTCGTGTCTCCTCCACCAATTTATATAATTATTATTAATTTTTAAATCAGTTCTTGTTTAACTTTTGCCTAATACCCGTTTCCTGGATAATTGCTTGTTAGCATGCACCTCGCAATCATCATCCACTTAACTATATTGCTGTTGTTGATATTTTAGTTGATAATTACAACATGAGAATTGCCTTCGTCTGTCCACGCCATGTCATTCGACTATTAAAATTTAATATTATAATATGCATGCAATCACAACCACATCTGGTAACATTGGGAGTATTTACACTGCGCATCAGAATAAATAATTTTCTTATGTAAAGTGGTGGAGTAAATATATTATTATTTATGATTCTCCACCTCCACCTTCATATGTGCATTTAATTTTAACATATAAGACAAAACTTTTCTGAAAACTTTTCTCAAAACTATTTTTTTTCATAAAACACCATCATCTATTCTATCATCTCGTCTATATTCACAATGTCTACTCGAGTCGCCTTGGGCATCGTATTTAGAAAAATCGAATATATATATATATATATATATATATATATATATCGGGTCTATGCCCAAATAAATATATTTTTGTGTCCCTTAAGCCCCCAGGCGGCCGCCAAGAGACCGGAGACGTCCGCCAATCCTCATATAATAAATGTATATTGACCGCCAACACCGCCGACACCGCCAGTCATCGAACAAACAACGAACGATTCGTATTATGTAGATATATATATATATATATATATATATATATATATATATATATATATATGTATATATATATATATTACAGATTCTGATGTAAAAGTCCCCGAGGTCGGTTCGGGTGGAGGTTCTGCGTGATCTATTTCAGTGATGAACAATTTGCTATAAAAATAATAAAAATGTATAAGATAAGTCTTTTTTTATTTTTTTTCCATAAGGATCAATTAAATTTGAGTAAATTATTATTTTAAGATTCATATAAGGTTTTTTTAGTCGTTTTCATAAGGCTCCCTTAAATATAGACTAAATTATTTTTTAAATATTATATAAGATTTAATTAATGTTGCTCAATTATTTGAGTATTTCTCAATAATTTGAGGCCTGTTCATTTAGATAAGACTTGCTAATTTATGATTTGCTCTATTATTCCTCACCTATTTTTTTAAGACTCATCATAAGACTTTTTTGTAGCTCAATTATTTGAGTATTTCTCAATAATCTAAGGCCAGCCTATTTATTTAAGACCTGTTTATTTATTTAAGACCAGCTAAACTATTTATGATTTGCTAATTTATATAAGTCCTGCTAAATTTTTCATGATCTGTTCTATTATTCAACTTTTGCTCAATTATTTTATTTTTGCTCAATTATTTGATTTTTGCTCAATTATTTGATTTTTGCTCAATTATTTGATTTTTGCCCAATTATTTGATTTTTGATCAATTATTTGAATTTTGATCAATTATGTGATTTTAGCTCAATTATATGATTGTTGCTCAGTTGTTCGACTTTTTTCATTTATTTGGGTTTAGCTCAATTCTATAAGATTTTTTCTTGAATTATTCAGCTCAATTATTTAAGGCCTGTTCAATATTCGAGATTTGCTCAATTATTTGATCTTCGCTCAATTATTCGACTTTTCTTAATTATTTGTGTTTAGCTCAATTATATAAGATTTGCTCTTGGAGTCATCAGCTCAATTATTTAAGGTTTGCTCAATTTGAGATTTGCTAAATTATTCGACTTTTCTCAATTATTTGTGTTTAGCTCAATTATATTAGGTTGTCAAATATCTCCCTTCCGCCCTTTGTATTATAAACCAAGAGCAAAAAAGCGGAAGGGAGATATTTGACAACCTAATATAAGATATGCTTTTAAAATCATCAGCTCAATTATTTAAGGTTTGCTTAATCATTGGAGGTTTGCTCAATAATTTAAAGTTGGGTTAGTTATTTAAAATTGGCTCAATAATTTTAAATTTGGCTCGATTATTTAAGACCATCTCGATTATTTAAGATCTGCTGCATTATTCAAGCTCTGTTCAATAATTTAAAATAACCTCAATATATTAAAATTTGGTTCGATTATTTAAGACCTGCTTGATTATTTAAGATCAGCTCCATTATTCAAGATTTGCTCAATAATTAAAAATTGATTCAATAATTTAAAATTGGCTCAATTATTATTTAAGATCAGCATGATTATCTAAGGTTTTGTTTAATGAATAAAGATCTGCTCAATTATTCAAGATTTGTATAATTATTTGAGCAAGTTTGCTCAATCAATTGAGTTTTGCTCTAAATTTATTGAGTTTTGCTCTCAATTTATTGAGTTTTGATGGCAATTTATTGAGTATTGCTCCCAATTCATCTGCTATTAATTTATTAAAATTTGACTTTTGCTTAATTATTTGACTCTATCTCGATATGTTTTATATATTATATTCTCATATTTAATACACTAAGACCTCATCTTTGCAATCAATGATTCTTCTCATGAGAACATGATATGATGAGATGTTGACATAGACGGAATTCACCTATACTAACATTGGGGGAGGGTTTTTGTTCCAACTTTCCTTTATTATTAGAAAAAATATTTGAGAGTATATTTGTCCTCGAGATAAAGGACGTCGCTTCGAGCTAAATATATATACATAATTTATTATATAATATATATATATAATATATATATATATATATATATATATATATAATTATTATATATATTATTAAATCCTCGTATATATATATATATATATACTCCTCCACATTTTGTCCTCCACCTGAAGACTTCCTACGGCTTTCCAATTAGTGGTTTTCTAAAGCTTTTTCGCTAACGATTCAAAAGAAATTCTCTTCGTACTTGTACATGTTCAGCTCTCTCTCAATATACTAGTTCACTTGAACAATATTTTAACCCGAAGGCTACGCCTTTTGAAGGTTAATGGAACGAGTTCTTCGAATATAATAACGCTGTTTCGAGAAATATAAATGAACACAATTATGTAAGGCGTCCGAAATAACGAGCGCAATAAATGTTTGAAGGGTGGAGCCGTCGCGAGACGGTGGAGGGTTGGGGTAAATTTAGTTTTACTGCCGTACTTATTTTGGTTTTTAATATTTTATATTTTTTTATTCCAGGTCGTATTGTTGAAATACAAGCCGTGGAGGGTCACTCAGTGTCATTGCCTTGCAGCGTGACGCCTCCTAACCATGACAAAGTCTACATGGTCTTCTGGTTTCAAGATGACGCCGGAATTCCATTGTACAGGTAATAATAATCAACATATATTATTCTACTACAACATTATTTATTCCTCCACCTCATTAGAAAAATTCCAAACGTATCGCGTGAATCGCCCGTTACCTAAGTATTCCTTCCTTTTCGGCTCTTATCTAAAGTTGTTCCTCCGGCCTTTTGTTCATTACCCGGAATTAGATCCGGTTTGGTTGTTAGCAGGAAGTTTTGATATGTTTCTGCGGATGTGATTACTCATCGACTCGGTCAGTAACTTCCTGGCGGAGGAGGAGATTATCGAGGTCGTGCGGTGGAGTGCCGGTGGAGAGTTTGAAACTTTTCTCGAGAACGATCGCCTGTGATTTTGTACGGGAGTTTTGTTGATTTTTTTTTTGGATTTTGTTGTAATGATTCGATGTGATTTGTAGAGATGTAAAGTTACTTGTTGATTTTATGTTGATTAGGTAGAGCTTGTTAGATTTGCTTTTTTAGATAATTTATTTTTGAAAAACGCGTTCTGGAGTGTGTCAATTTTTTTGAAGAAATAAAATTTATGAGACAATTCTGCCGTAACAGGTATTTTATTTATAAACTAGTGATATATGACATCGTGCCTTAAGACAAATTGCTGGAACTTCCCGTACCGTAACAAAATGTTCGAGGAATATTAAATGTTTTATAATATTTATAAGAACTATATAAACCGAATCACAAAGTCAAAAATATTTATTTAAAGTATATAAGTTAATATCTTGAATAATGATTTTCAGCCAGTAGTCGAAATAAAAGAAAACAAATAAATACAAATATCTATTTATAATATACGTTTTGATACGGATTGTGTGTCATCATTCAGCAATTCGTTTGTTAACAGTATCTAAAAAATATTTACAACGTTAAAAAAAATACATATAGAAATACCAATCATACATTACATATAAAATAAATATAAAACAATAAACAATATTAACTAAACGTGTTTTGTTTTTCATTTTAAAATTGAAAAATTGTGTTATGTAGTTATGAGCAAATAGAACGCAACTAGAAGTCACGTGACACACAAGGAGTTTTTGGAGAGGGTTTTGAGGGTTAGTTAAACAGTGGAGACACAAATTTGAAAAATAAAACATGTCAAATACAACATGAAACACAATGGTCAAAGATTTGGAAAATTATTTATTTGAAAAAAAAATTGATATAATGACTACAAGAGCAGAATTTTGTTTATTAACGCAAAGGGGGTTTAAAAAAATAAATGCAGATTCAGCAAATTTTCTGAGGTCAACATTTTTTTTCTTTATGTAAAATAATAGAATTTTTGGTATTGAAAGTTTGATTTAAATTTAGGATATGCTCCGAAATCATTGTCTTAAACTGATTTTTATTTTTTGAATTGTAAATAAGATAGACATGTTTTTTCTCTTGTAGATATATTGCGAATTTTGGACACTCAACTCGAGTGTTAGACTTTAAGGAAATGAAAAGTGAGTTCAAAGTATTATCAAAAGAAAAAACTAACAAAAAAAATTTCTTAATAAATGATAGTATTTTTAACTTTTTTATGTTTCAAGTAATTTTAAATTTCTCCACCTGTCATTCCTCCACCAAAATTATTTCTTCTAAAAGCACCTATATATTCCTCTACAACCTCTTTGTTTCAACTATCTTTCTACCCGATTACCCGGTTTTCTCCTACAAAGTAATCGAATTTGTCTGCGAAAGTTTTACTCGATAATTGAGTGAAATATCGAAGTTCCGACGGCAATAAACCGGTAATAATTTTGCTTTGAGAAAAACACTAAACACGAGAATTATTATTGCGGGAATATTGAGTTTAAATCGTTATTTAACTTACTAAAATGAGATGTTTACAAAAAAAGAACTAGTGGGGTATGGCATCGTGCCTTTAGGCAAATTGCTGGAACTTCCCGTACCGTAACGAAATGTTCGAAAAATTTTAAATGTTTTCAAAGAGATTTTTATAAATATTGTAACATTGTTTAATATTTATAAGAATTATATAAACTGAATTGCAAAGTTGAAATTATTTGTTTAAAGTATATTAGAACTTTAGTCAGAATTACAATTAAAATCTTATATATTTTCAATATAATTCAAAAAGATCTCGATTTTATCAGTACTCTGTCTTAGATTTCAAGTATTTTGCGTACAATAAATGTTACAATTTTGTATCTATTTCTTTCTCTTGTAATATTTAAGTTTCTTCTCTCTAGGTTTTTAAATGATGAACGTTTATATGAATATATATATATAAATAAAATATATTAGAATATAACAAGTTATACACAGATAAAAGTGTTGTGTAACTTTCAATGTCAAATTACTGTGTACTATTTACAAAATTTATAAAATGCATATAAGAGATTAGAAGATATACGTGAAAACAATGAAAAGGTGATCGAAGATGATACTATACTTCACTACTAATATACGATTATTGTAAAAATAAGAAATCAGATTTTTTTTAGTTTATATTAAAAGTATGGTTTGCGCATTTAATGCTTATAAACGGAGTTTTTGTTTATATAAAATATAAACTGAGTTTTGTAAAAAAAATAACACTTTCAATCAGTATTCATTAACTAAAAATAAAAATATATAAGTAATCGTATGTACAAGTAAGAGAAATTATCTGTCATTTTCGGTCCAAATAAAAAAAATGTTTTTAAAAAAATAACAAAATATGTAATATTTTTTTATTCTCAAAAGCAATTGTTTTGTCAATACAAACAGAAAGTTTTTTGTAAATTGTATAATTTTAGATCATTCAAATCGGACACTTAGTTCACTCAAAAACTGCAATTTTTTGCACATTTAGCTGTGTATCTTCGAAATGGCGAAACCTGTCTTTGCGAAAAACTAATCACATCTTCTCCAAATCATTACAAACTGAATGTTTTTTAGATCATTCAAATCGGATACTCTATTCTCTTAAAAACTCGATTTGTATTTTTTGCACTCTTTGCTCCGTATCTCCGTAACGTCTGGACCTGCCTTTGCCAAAAACTAAACAGCATATCTCCTTATCAATAGGAATCGAATGGTAAATGAATCATTCAAATCGGTTAATCCATGTGCCCGACAACGTGGACATACAAAACACACACACACATAAATTTTTTCTTATGTATGCCAAAGTGTTCAGAAACTTTCAAAACGTGCAGATGTGCAAAAATTTTCATTTACGATTTTTGGTTCATTACTATAACTACCCTACTATGAAAAACAATAACAATGTGGAGCCAATAATAATCAAACTGATTTTTATTTTTAGCTTCGACGTCCGTGGCAAACCCCTGTCGGCTGCACGCCACTGGTCAGCCCCCGAAGTGTTCGGCTCAAGGGCCCATTTTAGGGCCGACGGTGAACCTGCCAGGCTGGAACTTCAAGACGCCCGAAGGCACGACGCTGGCGTCTATAGGTGTCGTGTCGACTACAGGCACACACAAACTAGAAGCCTTAGGTACAACCTGACTGTCATAGGTAAGTCAATGATTATAAAATTAAACTAGTGGTGTATGGCATCGTGCCTTAAGGGAAATTGCTGGAACTTGCTATCTTGTTATATCTGAACAAATCAAATGTAAATCATAAATAAATCAATTTATCTCCAGAACATTAACAATCGTCATTTCATTTCGAATTCAATTTAAAAAAAAAATAGTTGCCAAATTTGCACAATATTGAAAAAGTGCTCCCGTATAGTCACAGTCTAAACGCATTTGCAAATAATTCTGTGCGACATTTTCACTTATACTGTGCTTAGCTTGGCGGCATTTATAAGAACTAAAATGATTGTTGTTGAATTGAGGAGGCTAAATTTTAATATGTCTTGTTTTATACTTTTGGACCGGTTCGATTTTTATTTATTTGTTTATAACTTCTAAATAAATTGTCCGATTGTTTTGCAATATGTAACAAATTTATAGCCAATTAAATTATGTACAACTTTTGTTAACAACAAAATTTTGTATCTCTTATTCTTTTACCCAAATTATGCAATGAAATAGGTTGTTGTTAAACTTTAGAGGTTGCATCAGTATATATTGCTTCATACTTTTGGACCAGCTCGTTTTTTGTTTATTTATTTATAACTTCAAAACGAAATGTCCCACCATTTTGCAATATTCAGCAAATTTATAGCCAATTAAATTATCTACAATTTTTATTAACAACAAAAATTGGTATCTCTTGTCCTTTTATCAAAAATTTACATTTAAAAAGGTAGTTCCTAAATTTTGGAGGTTACATCGTACACATATATCTTACTCTGTCACTCTACACTGTCAGGTATATGTTGCTCTTTTTCGCACTAGTGTTTTATATCTCTCTCTCATTTTCTCACTATATACTGTTGTCTCTTTTACGTTTAATCAAAACAGACTCTATATGACATCGCGACTTAAGAAGTTTTACTGCAAAAATAAAATTCTATTTTACTGATTTATACATCGCCAACCTAAGAAGTTGAATTCAAATGTAAATCATAAATCAATCAATTTATCTCCAGAACATTAACAATCGTCATTATTAGTTGCCTAATTTGCACAAAATTGGAAAAGTGCTCCAGTACATAAACAGTCTGAACGCACTTGGGTAAACATTTGTACCAGAGTGCTTAGACTGTGCTTAGCCTGGGTAATTTTTTGAATTTTTAATCCAAAATTACGAAAATATTTGTTGAGCAGATAAAAAAGAGACTCTACTGACGAGCAATTTCAGACATTATTATATTATGAAAAAGAAACTCTACTGATGAGTAAATTTGTACATTTTTTAAAAAAAAAGAACTTTAGTGGCGAAATAAATTTAGACATTTCTTTAAAAAAAAATCACTGACGAATAGGTTCAAATAATACAAAAGGGACTCTACTGACGAGCAAATTCAAACTTTTTTAGTGATTTAACATTAAAAAAGGGACCCTACTTACGAGCAAAGAAAAAAATGACTCTACTGACGAGCAAATTAAATTTCAATCTAACAAATGAACAAGGGACTCTACTGACTAGCAAAGAAGAAAGAGATTTCTACTGACGAGCAAAGAAAAAAGAACTCTACTGACGAGCAAATTAAATGTCAATCTAAAAAATGGACAAGGGATTCTACTGACGAGCAATGGAGAAAGAGGATTCTACTGACGAGCAAAGAAAAAAAGAACTCTACTGACGAGAAAATTAAATTTTAATCTAAAAAATAAACTCTACTGCGAGCAAATTAAATTTCAATCTAAAAAATGAACAAGGGACTCTACTGACGAGCAAAGAAGAAAAAGGACTCTACTGACGAGCAAAGAAGAAAAAGGACCCTACTTACTTACGAGCAAAGAAAAAAAGGACTCTACTGACGGGCAAATTAAATGTCAATCTCAAAAATGGACAAGGGACTCTACTGACGAGCAAAGAAGAAAGAGTACTATACTGACAAGCAAAGAAAAAAGAGGACTCTACTGACGAGCAACGAGAAAAAAAGAAATCTACTGACGAGCAAATTAAATTTCAATCTCAAAAAGGAACAAAGGACTCTACTGACGAGAAAATTAAATTTTAATATAAAAAATTGACAAGGGACTCTACAGACGAGCAATGAAGACAGAGGACTCTTCTGACGAGCAAAGAAAAAAAGGACTCTACTGACTAGCAAATAGAAAAGGACTCTACTGACGAGCAAATTAAATTTCAATCTATAAAATGAACAAGTAACTCTCTTGACGAGCAAAGGAAAAAAGGACTCTACTGACGAGCAAATTAAATTTCAATCAAAAAAATGAACTAGGAACTCTACTGACGAGCAAAGAAGAAAAAGGACTTTACTAACGAGCAAAGAAAAAAAGGACTCTACTGACGAGCAAAGGAAAAAAGGACTCTACTGACGAGCAAATTAAATTTTAATCTAAAAAATAGACTCTACTGATGAGCAAATTAAATTTCGATCAAAACAATGAACAAGGGACTCTACTGACGAGCAAAGAAGAAAGAGGACTCTACTGACAAGGCTTTGGTCAATATTCAGTATGAAAAATTTTTCATAACATAGCCTTGCCATAACATTTTTCTGTTATGCGGCAGAATCGATCCCTAAAAAAAAGATGTAATCATGAAATCTGAAACTTTAATGTTTATAAATCGTCTTACTCTCCACCATTAATAATAATCTCGCAGTCGGCAAACACGATGTTCATATGAAGGCGCAGAGCCAACAATAAAATAAAACGATCGCCGACAATCGATTTAAGAACGATATAACTTTCTACCTATTGAATTGTTCGAGTCATTTTATTCGATACAGTCTGCTGCAGCAGCAGCAGCAGCTATTGTGTCGGTTGCTGCGTTTATTTGTTTATTTTTTGCTGTTTTTTATTGCTGTTTTCTTTCGCGTGGGAATCGTAAATAGACTTCTTCTTGAGCGTTTGAAAATATATAGTCATCTTTATTACTAGGAGCAGAAGCTGCTAAATGTTTGTTTATAGAGTTTTTGTATCTGGAGTTGAAAGGAGTTTGATAGAATGTGATATGGAAGAATGGGTAGAGTCTCTTGTTCATTTTTTAGATTGAAATTTAATTTGCTCGTCGGTAGAGTCCTTTTTTTCTTTGCTCGTCAGTAGAGTCCTCTTTTTCTTTGCTCGTCAGTAGAGTCCCTTGTTCATTTTTTAGATTGAAATTTAACTTGATCGTCAGTAGAGTCTCTTGTTCATTTTTTAGATTGAAATTTAATTTGCTCGCTAGTAGATTCCCTTTTTATTCTACATCTGATTTCAGATTGCTTGTCAGTTCTTTTCATGTTCTCTTTACGATATTCAATTTGCTCGTCAGTATAGTATTTTTTTGTCTTCTAAGTTAAAATTAAATTACTCGTCAGTAGAGTCCCCTTTTTATTTTTTCGTCGAAAATTAAGTTTGCTCGTCAGTAGAGTCCCTTTTTTAATTTTTTCGCCCAAAATTATGTTTGCTCATCAGTAGAGTTCGATTTCAATTTTCTAGTCCAAAATTAAGTTTGCTTGTCAGTAGAGTCCCTTTTTTAATTTTTTTGTTCCAAAATTAAATTTGCTCGTCGGTAGAGTCCTTTTAGTCAGTAGATTCCTTTTTAGTGTAAATATTATACAATTTCTTTTTTAGTTTCATGTCAAAATTCAGTTTGCTTGTCAGTAGAGTCCTTTTTAATTATTACTACTTTCATATAATATTTTCTAGTCGTTAAAGTACTTTATAATCTGTTTGCTCGTCAGTAGAGTCCTCTTTTTAATTCCAACATTGATATTGTATTTTTTGTCAGTGAACTCCTCAATAAATCTGTGTCGAATATTAGTTTGCTTGTCAGTAGTCCTGTTTTTCTTTGCTCGTCAGTAGAGTCTTCTTTCTTCTTTGCTCGTCAGTAGAGTCTTCTTTCTTCTTTGCTCGTCAGTAGGGTCTTCTTTCTTCTTTGCTCGTCAGTAGAGTCCCTTGTTCAGTCTTTTGTTGTTTTTAATGTCAAACAACGCCTCAAATATTTTCAATTCAAATTAATGATAAGCGGTTTTTTGTATTTTTTTCCAATAATTTCTACAATCTAACTATATTTCTATGAATCAAAAAATCCTAGAAAATTCTCTTAACAAACTTCAGGAAGATTTATGGAAATCTGAATAATAGTTTAGAAGGATTAACCATTCATAGCCAGTACAGAAGAATCTTATATATAAGATATATATATATATATATATATATATATATATATATACATATATATTATATAGCAATAAAATAATTACATTTAAGAAGTCGTCATAAACCGATTGGGAATACAAAAAAAGTTAACGACACAGAAAATAGATGACAGTCAAATAAATACTGTACCTGGTGGTACACTCGTCGTCTTTAAATGCAACTTGTCATGGAAATGTAATTTTTATTTCGTATTCAATGGGAAATGTACATAGATTCTCACAGAATTTATTAATAGAATTATACTTGTACTAAAATCCATTTTAGTAAGCCATACGTAATATTAAAATAAAAGTAAAAACTCAAGTCAGTTTTTATGTATTAAACTTTTTAAGTCACTAGAATCTCCACCGTGCACTATTCGAAAATCACAAAATCTATTTTGAAAAACTTATTTATTACATTTGGTTAAAGTAATTTTATTAATCCTATTACATGTCAAAATTGAAAAATTTCAAATCAAAATCATCACCATGTCAAGATCTCCACCGTATCGTCGGCGACATCGCAGCAAACAAAAAACTTAAAGATTTCGTGATCAACTTTATTGTCGACAAATGCAACTACAACTACAAATAAAACTACTATTGTAGCTACTGAACGTTTGACGAAAATGTCATAAAGTTTTATTTTTGCTCATTTTGCCGTCTTTCATCGTATTTTTAATGGAGGTCGCATTTCAAACAGAATAATGACAAGGGAAAAGGAAAAAGGAATTTTCCTACATACTATATATAGTACTAAATTTAATAAACTGCGTTTGATCTGTAGTTTTAAATTTTAATT